ACACCTTTTTTGTGCAAGACCACAAATCAAAATAAGACTATGCCAGTCTCAGTAAATCTCTGTAAAAACTTAACAGAATCACTGCTAAGCCAACGAAAACTATTATTTCACTTCCTTTCTGAACACCCCAGTTTTCCTTCAACTACTGTCAAAGACATGCCTTGCTTGGCCTGCTGGTATTTGCTGTCTACTGCCGAAGTCCCACACGACAGCCAAGCTTGAGTCGACTCCTGCTCGGGTTTGCCCCCATGGCAGGCACGGGACACCTTAAGGCCACAGCCCCTTGCAACTGCCTCAGCTAAGGAGGTTCAGAATATGTGTCACCCCTCAACTTCAAAATATTTTCTAAGCTTTTCCAGAGGTCGAGCTTCTGCCTAGGGGCCTCTGCCCGATGCTCCCAGCGTACCTTTACTGTACCACTACGTAGTTACTTGACAGTTCAACTCTCTACCTAGCCAAGACTTATGAATACCCTTTGCAGGCCATTTCCCAGCCTTCAGCCCTCCAAGTTGAACTGTTATTAGCATGCAACATAAGAATGTGAACAATGAAAGCTGGGCCATCTTCTTTCCCCCCTTATGCGTTCGGTGCATAAGTGCAAATGACGGTCAGGACCCGTCCCCCGACTGGAGAGCAAATCTCTTGTCCACTGGGCGAAACCCAAACATACAGGCACATTGAGGGCATCTGACATGGACCCCTCTTGAATGCCTCCTAGGTGAGGTTTTTAATGTCCAACTAGGAGGAGATTCGACATATGGAAGAAATTCTCTCAACTGGCTTTGAGAAGAGCAGGTTGCAGAGTAGCAGTTGGATAGCTAATAGAAGAAGGCCTGGGTGTTTCCACCTCGTGCTTAGGAAAAAAAGCTTGTATCTTACTTTAGAAATATTTGAAAATTATAGAATTTAATGAGATAAATCTCTGAAAAACACTCCACGGCCATGAACAAGACACAAGTAGAAAAGAGGATGACGTTTGATTCAAATGCACTTGATTAACTTATCATCAGTAAGTGCGAACACCTCTATAAAAGCAGAGGTTTTAACAGTTTGCTGGTCTGGAGCATTCAGGTAATGCCAGGATTAAGACAATGCCAGGAGTAGATGTTCCAGCAAAGCCCAGACTGTGCAATGCTCAGAGAAACTGCAAAAAACCCAAGAGCTACAACCAAACACACCTTATTAGCACAATACCTTCATACTAACTGTCAAACACCGTGGTGGAGGGGTTCTGTTTGGGGCTTGTTTTGCATCCACAGGATCTAGGATCGTTGCAGTCACTGAGTTGACCATGAATTCCTTTTAAGATGTGAGGCCATCTATCCAACAGGTTAAAAATGGTTCATGCAACAATAATCAAAGCACAGCGGCAAATCTACAACATAATTGCTGTGAAAATGAAAGTGCCGCAAAGGCCCAAAGTTCAGCCTGCCTGAAATTCTGTGATTCTGTGTGAGCAACGTTCTAAAGAAGATGGGGGCAAAATTGCATAAGAATGATTTTAGAGATAAAATGATGACAAAATCAAACAGAAAACTTCAAGGTATTCCTGCTGAAGGCACTTGTACAAGCAGGGCTTGGGTCTCAGTTTAACACAAAGTCTTTCACATGATTCTATAAGGTCCTATATAAATTCCAAGTAATGTCTTATTATGCACCACACCTGACATTTTGCACAGTTCTATGGCGTATTGAGTTTTTCTGAGTAGTGTAGTAAACAGATGTTTGCTTGTTTGTTTGTTTTTTGCCTTGGTGCATGCTTCAAGTTTGGAGTATGGAGCATGTAAAATGTTCAAGTTACAAGGCTTTTGGATATGTTGCATCATTTGCGATTTCATCTGAGCAGGTGTTGTAATAAAAATATTTTAGACTTTGTTACACCCTGATGACTTTATTATGTTATATAGTAAAATAAACCTGCTGTCCCACAGGGAGAACATTTTTCCACAAACCATTTCTAGTGCAAGGAAAACAGGTCGATTTTCCAAGAACCTGAAAGAAAACAAGGGTTTGGGTCTCAGGAGTTTAAAGATCAGGCAAAATTTATTTAAAATTCTGTGAATTATTCGCTGTATATGTTTTTATTTTTGCAGGAATCAGGAAATCTGGGA